CCTGCAGCCAGAGCTCAGGGGTGGGGCAGAGTGCGGGGAAGCTGGGGCCGGCGAGGTGCCAAGGCTTCTCCCCAGCTGAGTACAAGAAAATGGGGCAACTGAGCAGGAGGCACCGGTCCCTCTGAAATGCTGTCCCCTCTCTGTGCTGCTTGACCTGTGCAGGGCTCTGGGGCTGGCTGCTGGTAAAACCAAGCCAGCTGGGCTGTAGGAGGCCCTTGGCTGTGGATCCCACTCTGCTGGGTGTGCAATATGGGTTGCTGGACTGAGCCAAGGCTCCAGGGACCTGCTGAGAGCACCTGGCTGCGTCCTCTCTTTACTGTGCCTTTAGTTTCTCCAGGTAGGAAATCAGTAGAGGGCTCCTGCCCTTAGCCCCAGCTCTGGCAGCTGCAGATGGGAGGAGTGGGGCCGGCTCTGAAGGTCTCTCTTAGGCACTTGGTTCTCCTGCAGAGCAATGCCCATGTGCTGGAGATGCTGATCAGCCCCCCTGGGACCTGGAGCAAAGCACAGAGGGGGCTTGGAAGGAAGGAAATCACTAAGCCTCTTTGTGCCATCTTTGGGGTGCTCCTCATATCCCCAGCAAGGGGAAGGTGCAATCTTCAGACCAGTGGGCAGTACTGCACAGGCTTGGCCCTTGCTCAGTTGGGTACTGATTGCCACGAAACTGGGACTGCCTGGTGCCATCCTCCCTGCAGCACTCAGGTCAGCCCTGCAGCTCCTTGCATCCTGGCTCTGCCTCTCCTAAGAGTAGGGTCCTACCTCGTGGGGGTCTGAGTCCCAGCCCCATCCCTGCTCACCGTGTGAATGTGACCTTGGGCTCTGAGCCCTCAGCCCTTGTCCCCTGCCGGCACTTCAAAGGCAGGCGGCTTCCCCCAGCTCCTGCGCAAGCTGCTCAGAGGGGTGGGATCCTTTCAGATCTGTCACCTTTGTACTGCTGGGGGCATTACCCCTTCTAGCAACAGGGGAAGGGGGAACCATACAGAGGGGCTGGGTGCACCAAGATGCTCCATCTCCTTTAAGCTAGCCCCTGGGCTCCCAGCCTCAGCCCTGCTCCAGACCTGGGCACAGCCTGGCACTAGCCTGCTGCCCTGGAGACCTGGGAATGGGGCTGAGCCCCCATGAGTCTGGGGGACACAGGCCCCCCCACCCTGCAGGGTATGGAGTCACTGGCACGAGCAGCCCCATCCAAGCTCCCCCAGGGCAATCCCACGCCTGACCGGCAGCCCTCCCTCCCTCCCCCACCCCCGCATGCTCCTCGGCACTGGACGCTCCCCATCCCCCTGCTTTGCCCCTGTCTGGAAGTGTGGGGCCCACAACCAGCCCTGGCCGCCTCCCTTCATGGGAGACTCCCCTTGCAGGAAACAGCCTTGCCCTTCCTCTCCCGTGGCCATGCTGGCCCCCAGGGCCTTGCCCTTGAAACAGCTGCGAGCGGTGGAAGCTGGGGGACGGCTCCAGGAGCGATGAGCTCTCTTTGGAGCCAGGTTTTATAGCAAGGGGCTTGGTCTTGTTGGCCTGCAAAGGCACGGCTGGGCAGGGGCTCGGCATGCAGCCGCCTCAGTGTACAGGGCAAGGTCCCGCGGCCTCCTCTTGCTTCGCGCGGGCTCTGGTGCTTAGCTTGCCCCACACTCCCTGCTTCAAGCACCTGCCAGGCTGCAACAGCCACTGTGTGACCCTTCACCCAAGGCATCCTGCTATCTGCAGCCCTGGATACGCTGCTGCCACCAGACTGGGGGAGCAGCCTGCAGTGGGGCCCCTGAGACGGACCCCACATCTCCCCTTTCCACAGCAGGGGCTGGCTGCTGCCCTGGATGCCGCTTGGCACCGCTGTCGGGTGGCAGCGGTGCTCCTCCTCGGAGGTGGCTGCGTCGCAGGAATCCCCCGTGGCCTTGGGGTGGCCGGTGTGGGAGTGACGCCGACTTTACTTCTGCTTTCCCAGTGAATGTGGGGGGCGGGGCGTGGACCTGGCTGCCCTGTGCCCAGTCTGTGTGGTGCTGGACTTTACCCAGCACCGCGTCTGCACCCTCCGGTTGGCACAGTATCACAGGTCACCTCATTTAACGCTCCCCTCTGGTTCGTGACAGCTTGTACTGCGGGTGGGAGCCCAGGGTCTCGGTGCTGTCCCCAAGAGCAGCAGGTAAATGCAGGGGAGGCGGGAGAGTGGCTTTGGCTGGGGTCTGCCCTTCGGTGCCCAAGTCTGGTACCTCCCTCCCCAGCAGCAGCCGGGGGTGGGGTCCGGTGCCCCCAGCACAGAGCTCAGGGCAGAAGGTGGGATCAGTTTGCTTCCTGGTGCAGGAGATGGTCCTCTGACCCCCACCAGCCCCCAGCAAGCGATGCCTCCGCACAGCCTGACCCAGCCCCCGGGCCGTGCTAAGCAGCTCCCTGGGAGCAGGACATAGGCCCTGGCGTGGCTGGTGGGCACCCTCCACCCCAGCGCAGCCAGCAATGCCAGGCAGGGTGTAAGCCAGCACGAAACCCAGATGGGAATTACCCTCCAGCCCGCCCTGTCCTCCACATCGCAGCTCCCAGACAATAGCGGCTCACCAGGGCGGGATCCAGGCCTCCAGCCCAGGGGGTGAAAGGAGTCGCATGTGACCGGCCAGACCCCTTTCCCCTGCCCTCTCCCAGGCTCCTGCCTCCTGGAGCCGTCCGGCGGGGGGAGGGCTCCCCACTGGCCTATAAAGGCTGGGCAGGGGGCAGCTCGGATGCTGGAGCAGCTGGAGCACCGAGCAGTCCTAGGGAAGGGAGGTGAGAGA